TTTGTGGAATTTTATGTCAATTGATTCATAATGAGTAATTTTTCGTAATAACACTTAATTTTACGGATGAAGTTTATCAGATTTTCTGACTAAAATAAACTTTTCACTTGAGAAGTTCGTAATATTTAATATAATGCGTCTTGAGTAATAATGCAATGGAAACATTCAAAATGAGATTTAAAATGATTGAAGTGTTTCCGATTTTAATTGCATCAACCTAAATTTTTCGTAATGATCACTGTGGTAATTTACTTAATAACACTCAATTCGAGCATCAAACTGTCCCTGTGACAGTTTTTTAAGAATTCTCATCCCTGAATGTATTTTTTCTGCATTATTTTGGTAATTACTACTTCGGCGAACGCGCAAAGCTAATTGAGATTTATACTCAGGGATTTTTGCTCTGACACAAAAAATGTGCGCGCAAAACGAACAAAAATCTAGAACGGAACGGAACTGTAGATTGGCTGTAAAAATCGTTAAGGATCGCTGAAGAAATTGCTAAGGAAATACTTTTCTTGATGCCTTTTTCTATCGCATTATCGTTATATGCAGATGCATTTGATACTTGACTTCAAGACTGTATAAGCAACTATAATTGCAGGATTGTAGAGCTATTTTAGGATCTAGTATATATATATATATATATATATATATATATATCGTATTCTCCAAACGTTTGTAACTTCAACAATATTTTGTTCTATATTTTCAAGATAATGTTTCTTTCCATCAAAATACTATATATAAATACACAATGTATTTCTTCCCTTACAGAAGGTCAAAAATCGTCTTTTTCCGCATAATTACATTAGCTTTTCTAAGTCAACGGCTTACGAAACTTAATATCGTGCACCCTTTAGCAAACTCAAAGAGAATTTAAGAACGTCTGAAAAGAAAATGATTTTTTTGTGCCTGACTTGGTTGTTGGAATCATAAAGACGACCTATTTTTATATGTGGCTTAATTGAGCGCTATCGAAAAAAAAGGATTCTGTGAATATTTATATATATATATATATATATATATATATATACATATATATATATATATATATATATATATATACATATATATATAACCTAATTAGGATGCTTTTGAATTTCCTTGCTCCCAGGGACCCAAATTCTTCCAAATTGCTAAAAAAAATTCTCTGTTAGTTTTAGCTTCTAATATTAAATGTAGGAAAGTCTGCACTGGGTTCTGGGGTCTCTTTTCTAAGTCTTACTTAATAGCATATATCAGATTTTTGTTGCAAATTTTTTATTAATGATAAAAATGAGCAAATACAATGTTACTCTCAAAATTTTGATTCACTCGTCGCTAAGATGCAAAATTATAAAAAAAAACAATGGAATTTTACCTATGTTATTTTCACAAGAAACTTCGGTTGGAGTTCCGACTATCTTATAGTTAATATTTATCTATTCAGGCAAATGTTTTTATTTTTTGGTTGGTAGGACTTCTATTGTCTAGTTAAAATTTTTCGTGAATTGGTTTATTGAAGTAGTGATTAACCTTTTGTTTGCAAAAAAACAGAAGTTGTTTTTTTTATTCTTATAATGTTTGCAAGTATTCAACAAAGATGAGCATTTTTTACTTAACTTCTAAAATAGCAATCAGAATAATTAACAAGTCTATAAGCTATTGAAATATGAAATGTACGTAACTCAAATGCTATAATTAAGGTCGATTAAAAGAAAAGTAGAAATAGTTTTGTTTAGAGAACTCTCCAGTGAGAGTATTTAATATGATGAATAAAATTAAACCTGCTTTTTCTTAGCATTGAATTTTGTGTGCGAAATAAAATATCAGCAGCCGAAACGTTCACAATAAGTTGCAGAGATTGATTTCATTAGTGAGAAGTCAATGTCAAGAGCAAGTGTCTTTAATTGGCATAAATTGTTCCAAGAAGGTCCAAAGCGCATTGAAGACGAGCCATATTAAAAGACGAACAGGAACATCTACAAAATCAAAGAATTGGTGCTACAAGATCATAGATTGACTAGTAGTCATTGGATGGATTTTTTCCACATTTCAAGGAAGTAAGAAAACACAATTTTGAAGTGTATCTGCAATTCCATAATGCACAATCCCACACTGCACTTGTTTTTAGTGACGATTTCGCCAAAAATTCAACCAATATCGTTTTGCAATCACCGTATTCGTCGGATTTAGTATCCCGTGACTTAAGTTGAAAGAAAACTATAAAGGAGAACATGATTTATATGCAGAAGATAAATTGAAAAGTATATAGTATGAAAATAGGATTTATGTAAAAAGAAGATAGTATGAAAAACTGAAGAATGTAGTAGAATTGTAGTAGTATATAATAATTATGTCATGTTGTAGGTGGATACATGCCTGAAAGCGAGGCCAATAAAAATTTAATAAAAAAAAATTATTGTACTTATTATACAGTTTAAGTCATTTTCCATGTTTGAAAATTTATAATGATCTGTTGTAAAATACAATGTATTAAAATAATAACCAGAAATACAATAGTGGATTTTCCAATCAAATGATGAATTATGAAGATATTTTATTGATTTCTATATAAAACTGAAATGAATTTTTGCAATTAATAAAATTACATTGTAAATTTAGTTTTCGTCTAAAATCAATGTAATTATATTTCAATAATGGCGGCTTTTTTCAACCTTCTATAGAAGTTTTTTTAAGTTTTTTTATAACTACATTTTTTGTTATTTGATAGTATATAGTTTGCTTGTATTAATCAGCCAGTTTGGAACGTACAAAAAATAATAATAAAATAAAATAAATTTGTCCTCATTCCGAATTCTTTCCACTCGTTACTGTATTTTACAAATTGGTTTTGTGACATTAACTTAGTTGATTAGAATCGGTAGTGCGCGGTTCAATTACTACTGATTTATTTGGATTTTCCTGATTACATCGTACTACAGGTACATGTATATATATATATATCTATATATATATATATATATATATATATATATATATATATATATACATGTTACATCATGAATAGCCTTGCAAACGAACACTTATACCAAATATATAAGTTAGAAACAAGATCAATTACGAACGTAAGATGCTCCTCTCATATTATGAGAGTGCAGGGCGAAACCTTCCTGAATTGATTCAAAGCACACGTAGCAGTATATCAACTGCTATATACTTACACAGAAAACAGGGCCGCATTTTACCCAAAAGTTGAAAAAAAAATACAAAGTAAAAATTATACTTGAAGTAACGGGTAGATGTCCTCTCAAAAATGCTTATTGCACACATAAGAAAATATTAAAGAGTTAAACTAAATTTTATTTATTTTTTCTTAAGGCAACTTTTATAAGAATTACGATATATGGAAGTATTCAATTTAAGCAATACGAATTGAGATTTAGTATATATTAAAATTAGCATGGCAAAATTTCCAATACAACCCAATAATTTGAAAATAAAACCAAGTCTGATTGAAATTATAAATACGTTTTTTTAAGAAATAATGATTTTTTTATAATTCAACCACATTTTGCAGGCCTATGGTATTTTAAGATGCTAGTTTAGATAATAAACTTTTTCTATTAAAAAGTTTTATTATAATTACCAGGAAAAATTTAACAATAGCTCTTGAACAAAACATTAATGGACACAAAAAACTTGCCATAAAAATAATTATATTTTATTTATTATATAGAGCATAGCATATAATTTTATTAATATGTAATAGCTAATTTTCAACTGGGCATCTATTTAATAACCTATTTTTTAACATTTATTAGTTAATTTCAGTATTGCAGTAAATAATGTCATTAATTTGTTTGCATATAATTGGTCGTTTTTTATAAGTGAAATATGGAGTTTTAAGAATTATAGATGTGTCTCAAATATATAATTTTATCTATTTGAATATCGCAAACAAAATATAACAATTCATGTATCCAATATGATTAAAATTTATCGAATTGTTAAATAAATTATATTTAACATATGTTATGTAATTTTTATTGTATATTTTGCCATACGTTGTTTAATTTAGAAATTTTTCATCATTAATGAATGTAGGTGTGTGCCAAGAGCAATTCCCTGAATTATAAATTGAAATATTATTCTGAATTGAGGTAGTTTTTTAGATAAATATTATAAACAGTAAATACACATATATTCCAAAATCATTAAGGACTATTTTAATAAAAATTAAGATATAAACTTTGCGACATACTACGATTTTTATGGTATTAGGTTGTTATGTCTTGATGAACTGTTATTTTAATTATATTTATTATAATTTTTATGTTTTGCTAAAAGTACATATCTGGTTGTATACTGCCTTATTTATAAATCTCACACACACTACGATACAAGTACATCCATATAAATAGAATCTTGGCACAAGATTCAGTTTTCCTCTTTGGCTTTTCCGCAATTATCTCCGGAAAACTTACAAGTGATTTAATCCCTTAATTACCTTTGGTTTCCTATATACCGATACTTATATATATATATATATATATATATATATATACGACCTTATAGCAGACCAAAATATTTTTAAGGAATAATATATATTATATATGTACCAAAACATTGAAATCAGATAAAAAGAAATAATAGAGTAAAATATAACAATAATGAAAGATAAAATATTTAGAAAGAAATTTATTTTTAAAATTTTTCAAAAACCTTAAGAACATTGCATTCTTCAAAGTTGAAAAGAAAATCTCAAAGTTATTTATACCATAAAACTTAATATTCATAAGCCGTACGTGCAAGAATGAACTAAATAAGGAATATTTGATGTATAATACATGTTGTTGAAATACAATGAAAATTTTATCTAAAAATTAATCAATTAATAACCTGCTAACTCCCACAATTGGTTTGTTTTGGCGTATATAGATTTATGACAAAAAAACTCAAGCTACTTATAACATCACATTTATTAATTCATGGATATCATTTTTATATTGTTAAACTAAATAAATCGTTGAGCTTATAACGTATTGACTTAATCACTACAGCCCAAGTCCTTTGGTTAAAACACTTAAGTCGGTGTTAACTAGTCCATCTTGAGAAGAACTTGATGATGAAGATGAAGAATGTTTGCTATGAGAGCTACTTGATCCAGTCACTGACGATAAAACATCTAAGTCAGTATTCACAAGTCCACTTTGACTTTCTGAGCCAGTCACAGTAGAAAGAATATCCAAATCGGTATTCACTAAACCTTCCTGACTTTGTCCACTACTTTGAGAAGACTGGCTACTTTGAGAAGACTTGCTGCTTTGAGAGCTACTAGATCCTCCAGTGACCTTGGATAGGACATCTAAGTCAGTATTTACAAGTCCACTTTGACTTTCTGAGCCAGTAACAGTAGAAAGAACGTCTAAATCGGTATTCACTAAACCTTCCTGACTTTGTCCACTGCTTTGAGAAGACTGGCTACTTTGAGAAGACTGGCTACTTTGAGAAGATTGGCTACTTTGAGAGCTACTGGAACCTCCTGTAACCTTGGATAGAACATCTAAGTCAGTATTCACAAGTCCACTTTGACTTTCTGAGCCAGTCACAGTAGAAAGAACGTCCAAATCGGTATTCACTAAACCTTCCTGACTTTGTCCACTGCTTTGAGAAGACTGGCTACTTTGAGAACTACTGGATCCTCCAGTAACCTTAGATAGAATATCTAAATCAGTATTCACTAACCCATCTTGACTTTCCGAGCCCGTAACAGTAGATAAAACATCCAAATCTGTATTTACTAAACCACTTTGGCTTTGACCAGAGCTGCCAGATGATCCATCGTTGCATTGCTCAGCGCTGTCTGAAGATTCCCCATGCCAATGCTCATTACTTCCAGAAGATTCATCATTGCATTGTTCTTCGCCTGACCAATCATGGTGTGACCAGTTAGAATCATTATCATGTTCATCGCTGCCAGAGGATTTATCATTACCTGACCAATCATGGTGTGACCAGTTAGAATCATTATCATGCTTATTGCTGCCAGAGGATTTATCGTTACATTGATCTTGTTCATTTGACCAATCTTGGTGAGACCAGTTAGAATCATTATCATGCCCTGAACTTCCATTATCATCATTACCTCCACCAGAAATGATATCGGCATCAGTGTTAATGAGACCGTTTTGGTTGGTTGATCCACCATTTGAAATAATATCAGCATCTGTGTTTACTAAACCGTCTTGGTTAGTAGAACCACCATCGGAAATTATATCAGCATCAGTGTTAATGAGACCGTTTTGGTTGGTTGATCCACCATTTGAAATAATGTCAGCATCTGTGTTTACTAAACCGTCTTGGTTAGTAGAACCACCATCGGAAATTATATCAGCATCAGTGTTAATGAGACCGTTTTGGTTGGTTGATCCTCCATTTGAAATAATATCAGCGTCTGTATTAACCAAACCATTTTGGTTAGTGGAGCCACCATCGGAAATGATATCAGCATCAGTGTTAATGAGACCGTTTTGGTTGGTTGATCCTCCATTTGAAATAATATCGGCGTCTGTATTAACCAAACCATTTTGGTTAGTAGATCCACCATCAGAAATGATATCGGCATCAGTATTAATAAGGCCGCTTTGGGAGGTTGAGCCACTGTTGGAAATAATATCAGCATCAGTGTTTAGCAAACCGTCCTGGTTAGTTGAACCACTGTTGGAGATAACATCTAAATCAGTATTGACAAGTCCATCTTGCACAGTTGATCCAGTATTCGAAATTACATCCAAATCAGTATTTACAAGCCCATCCTGCTTAGTAGATCCACCCAAACCACCCAACTGTGATATATAATAGTAATCAATGAATTATTCTACGTAGGATAAAAGTGTTATATTTAAAAATACTTACCAAAGGATTTGCTTGGCAACAGCTAATAATAGCAAGAACTAGTATAGTTTTAAAATGCATCTCAGTTTCAATTGAGATTAAAAAAAAACTGAAGTTATTGCTATAAAATAGTAGATGTACTGATCTGATCAGAAAGCCTATACAATTGCAATAGCTCAACAAATTATTTTCTGATGCTTTGGTCAAAAGAAAATGACTATATATACCTTATAGAAAAATAAACAATGCGAAACGATTTGTTGTTGTTGTTACAAAAATAACTAAATCACAATATTATAAAATAATTGTGAAACCACCTGAATAATCAATAAACTCTTTTTGCATTAACTTTTCTAGTAAGTTTATATGAAAACACCTACATGATTGATTGAATTGTTTATTGATTTTTTCTTCATCGCCGACAAACAACTTATCGAGTCGTTGACTCTGTTAATTGTTTAAATATTAACGCATTACGTATTGTTTGATATCGACACAAGAAAAATATATCAAATGTTCAAATATTTATTCTAAAATTATTTAGTTATTTTTGTTGCTTGTATTATAAATTAATGGCATTGCAAAAAAATTGGGAATTAAATTGGTATTAATATTTTTTGACATAATTTAGACAAAATTTGTATAAATGTATGTGAATGTGGTTCGACATTTTTTGTTAAGAATAATTACAAAATATTCATAATAGTTGCATTGACAATTTAAAAAGTAATTTGTTGAAATCTGCAATAATGGCAGTCCGTTACGCATACTAACTGATATCAAGCAGTAGTAATATCAATTTATACTTGAAAATATATATTTGCATTGATTCCAAATAAATTAACTTTTACAAGCATTAGAACTATTATGTTAATCGCTTTTTACTATTAAACTGCTAGATTCCTTTTTAGTAGAACAATCTATATAAAAATTACCACAAATAATGAAATGTATTTATATAATAATAGTAATATTGTATTTCCAAAAAGTAAATCACAAACATCCAGTACAAATTAACTTAACTATGGAAGATTTTCTTTCAATATTATTCAAAAACTATACCTCTTGGTTGCCAACTATTATTACTTTGATATAAAAAATTATAATATATTTCTTTTATTTCTGTTCTACGGGAGTAGAAAATGGCAAGATTTACCTTTACATTCTCCTTTGTACTCAACTCAACTTTTTCTACATTATATCAAATATTTAGCAATCTAAGTAAATATAAAATTAGCATAAACGACATTTTTTTAAGTTTATAAATAAAAACAGAAATTAATTTTTTTTTTAAAAACTATAAAAGACAATGAAGCTATAAATTATATTTATTAAAATTTAAAATATTTATAAATTATAAGATGTTACAGGTTTTGTATATTTTATATTGAAAAATGAATTTATAAATGTTTTTCCTAAGATACTATTGATATTAGGCAATATATCATATCTTTAGCTACTATGATTTACTATAATTTCTAATCCATAGATTCAAGTAAGAATTGAAGTAAGTAAAGTAAGAAGTAAAATTTTTATATTTCAAGATCTCTTTATTGGATCACGTTTCAATATCTATACGTCTACGTCAATACTACTATCAATATTCAATTCTTCGATTTGTTCATTTGAAACTATATCTTCTACCAATTCACATCAGTATTATCTTCTAATTTAGGTATTTGATTAGCATCTTGCATAAAATCTTCTGTATTTACGACAATGTTTGATGTAAAATCCAATTCTTCATTATCATTTAATTGTATTTTTGAATCTTCATCGAACACATCTACAGTATCTAATTTGTCTAAAGTTGAGCTCTCGCCAATATTTTCTAATAAATCAGTTTTGTTAACATCATCATTAACTGGTGAAGATCCCAAAAATTCTAAAAGGCTTCCAGCATTCTGATTTTCGATTTGGTTGTTATTGTTCGCTATGAAAGTTGGATTATTGCCAATGGGCAATATTCCTATAATTCAAAAAAAATTGAGATTATAGTTTTATTATTATTGAGATTGGCTTTATTGTATTGAGAAAAATTTTACCTGTTACTGGTACTACTTTAACAATCTCGCTCAGAACTGGAAAATGTGAGATAGGATTTGAAATAAAACCGCCAAAGTTGAAAATGTTATCAAATCCTAGGATTCCTAAATTTGAGAAACCTGTACCTGCTCCAAATATACCACCTAAACTTGTTAAGGTATTTCCAGTACCAAGTTTTAATGCCGATTTTTTCATTTGTATTATATCACTTATAAAACTTGGTTGTGAATCAGGATATTGAGATTGTCCATAATTTGGAGAAAAGTTTTGTATGTTAATAACACCAGCATTAACATTGCTTATCTACGAATGTAGAAACAAAATTATATTTAATCATATTATATTAATTATATTATATTTAATCAAATGTATTTGAACTCTTTCTTAGAGGCAATAAACTTTAGTTTAATCAAAGCATAAATATTTTTATTAAAAAATTATATTGCATATTATGATTTTTTAAATAATTACTCACCAACATGTGCTCAAGGCAAATACATAACAATAAAATATGTTTCAAGATCATTGTAAATTTATTTAAATTTATAATTTATTGCGTTGTATTTATTGTGGAATCAGCACAAAATAATTTCACTTACTTGATCAAGTAGAACGAAAATTTAACTAAAAAATTCGTGATATTTTAGTAAAGGTAAATATGTTTTCATACATTTTTATCACTATGAGCAAATCGTATTAGCATTCTTTCACGTTTTTTAATAAGTTTTATTTCATCTCCAAATTAGTTTATTTGCCTATTATATATATATATATATATATATATATATATATATATATATATATAATATCATTTCACTTTGACCTATGAATTATTCATAGATGAATACTATTGATATTGAATGCTTTAACATCATTAGTCCTCGTATTCAGTACGTTCATGTTTCCATTTAATTTTACCAAAATTCACTAATATAGCTTTAAATATATTATTATTTGCTAAAAAACATGTTATAAACAACACATAAATAAACTTTATTCAATAAGCATACTTTAAATATTAGTAATATAAAGAAGATTTGCTATAAGTATTTTGATATATTTTATTTTATTTATTCTTTAAAAAGCACTTGTACTTAACTAAGTTATTATTGAGATTCAATTTTCAATCTTTATTTTTCTATAAACTAAATAACAAGTGAAATTAACATTTTTATCCGAAACTGACTCAACCAGCTTGTAAATTTTTCTGAAGATGTGATGTTCATTTACTTTTGATGAATTTAGATTAAAAAAAAAAATAATATTTATATGATTATATGATAAAAAAAATATTTCACAGCATCTTTTATCTATATTTTAGGTACCACCGATGAATTTGCTGATGTTTATTAATTATTTCACAATTAATTAGGTGCAAATACATAAAAAGGAAAAAAAAAATCTGTTATCTATAACATACGGTTGTTTTTCTTATTGTATATAGAAAATCAAATCACTGTATATAAAATAAGCTAGTATCAATCACTTATGGCTGTTCTTACAAATTAAATTTACTACAAATTGAAGAAATTGAAAATTGCACGTTCATTTATCGTATTTGCTAGTGAACAGTCACACTATTTTTTTATATTACCTTAATATGCCATAAAAAAACAAGAATTTCAAATTTTGGGCCAAAGAACTGAACCTTAGACAACCACAGGTATCCAGGTGCATTTTGCGTCTCGAACAACTTGATATCAAGCAGTAGTAAAATGTTTTTACTTCTATATAAATAGAAAACTAGCTGTAAGTGGAATTCTGTCTTAAGGCAATTAAGGCATCGTGCCTTAAGGCAAATTGCTGGAACTTCCCGTACCAAAAATTATTATTTTTTTAAAAACGATTAACATTTTTGAAAAAAACTTACTTTGAAAAAATAAGATTTTTGAGAAACTATAAATTGGACAAAAAATTACTTTTTTTTGAAAAAAAAAATTTAAAAAAAAATTTTTTTTTTAAAAATTTTTTTTTTGAAAAGAATTTTTTTTTTTATTTTGACATATTGTGGAAGATCTAAACTTTCTTTTCAAAGCAATCGTACTGCTTTAACTGCATAGGGACAAAATATAAAGCGCGTAAGCGCCGCGTCGCTGTCTAAAGCATAAGCATTGGTACGGAACCCATAGGAATGTTAACAAAATGTATACTTATTGTTAAAATCTCTATAAAATATCTGATAATTTGATGTGCATTAATATGTCTGATGATCATTTTTGACCGCCAAATGGCTCATTTTTTTACTTTTTCCTCCATATCTCCGAAACCGCTAGACCTACCTGCATGAAAATTTTATCGGTTCTTCATCTTGTCAATATAAGTGAAATGTTTTTTGAATTATTCAAATCGGACGCTCCGTTCTTTTAAAAACTAAGTTACCGTTTTCGGCACTTTTTGCCCCGTATCTTCGGAACGGCTAGACCTGCCTTCGCCAAAAACTAATCAGCACTTCTCCTTATCAATACGAATCGAATGTTTTTTGAATTATTAAAATCGGTTGATCCGTGTTCCCGAAATCGTCGACGAAAATTTGTATCCGCACATACATACACACACATACATACATACATACATACATACATACATACATACACACACACACATACATACATACACACACACACACATACATCCATTTTTTCTAAGGTATGCCAAAATGTTCAGAAACCTCTGAAACGTAAAGATATATAAAAATTTTCATTTTTGATTTTTTTGCGATTACTATAACTTGCCCTACGGGAAGTTAATAATGCAGGTGCAATTTGCGTCTTAAACAACTTGATATCAAGCAGTAGTAAAATGTTTTCACTTCTATATAATTAGCAGAATATATATCTAAATGTAATTTAAAGTGATAAATGTTTTCCAGAGCCGTTGCTGTAACGAAGTGAAAATAGGTATGATTACAGTTGGAAATAATTATGCGGATCATAGTTATAGAGGACAAATAAGGACTAAAAATATTTATTAATTTATTATTTAAGGTAGTCAAGGTAGATATCTAATTCATTCGTTAAATTGTATTTATATTGTATCATTATTAAAATCTATTTATCCGTTGTTTTTCTTGAAAACCCAGTCACATTAGTATTCTGGTTGACGCGTATTATTGTTTGTGTCCTGTCAAAATGCGAACGTGAACGTCCTTCAGAACGAAGAGAAGAAACCCGCCATAAAAGGTCCTTGTTTATAGCACACGGACTCGGCTATCTAATTATGTGATAAAGAATTTATATGTTACAGTATTACACAAGTAAATCCTACTTTCTCATACAATAATTTGATTGCTTTGTAGAATACTTAATAATGAAATAAAAAAGTGATATTTCTTAATTTGGCAGTCTCTAATGGGTTTAGATACAATATTAAAAAAAATTAAAAACACTAATAAATACATATGGAATAGTTTTATAAAAACTGGATACTACTTGCATGTATCTCATAGGAGCACACCTTCAATTATTGTTCGATTCAACAAATTTATTATGCCATTTCGTTTTTATTTTTCCAACTCAAATGTTAATTCTCAATCTGACTGACTATTTTTTTCTCTATAAAATATTCGCGTTCAACTGAATTAAAACTATTTTTTTAAATTGTCATGTCACTCAGTGTCACACACAATAATAGCAATTTGGCATATTCATATTCAAATGCAAAACTTGGCAAAAATAATTTGTTGGGATAGAAATGGGATAGAAATAGTTACTCTGCTCTATTATATTTTTATGAACTGCTGTTGTTGTTATATATGATACAAAAACAAATTTTTATTCAAGGTACACAGTTATAGAGTAAGGAGGGGGTATAAAGTTCCGCGGTAAATAAGATCTACCACCGTGAGGATTTTTTTAACAACAATATTTGAAAGTAGAGATAAAAAGTTGTATAACGTACCATCACCTTGTTTGCTACAATGGTATTCTTGTGAGATAAATGACAATGTTTGGAAGTCAATAACAAAAGCATTTTTTCGTTGTTAGTTTTTTTTTGGCTGTGAGCACTGTTGTTTAGTTTACAAAACCCCAATATAAACAAGATTAGATAGACAGATTCAATAAATTTTTTAAATAACCTCTACAAATGCTTACATGTGGGTGCGGTAAAAAGTATCAAATGATCCTTTGCCATGACAAAGATGTAACGATAAAAAGTAATTAGTAAAATAGGTTAAAAAATCAATTTTACAAGATATATTTTTTATATAGTTTAGCAATTAAATGAATAGATATTTTAACTGTGCATATGCATATTTTTTACGAAATACCAGAACAAGTTTATACACAGTGTTATTTTTGTAAAAAATATAATGCAATGTAAAGTAATTTGAAAATGCAATGAAATCTGGAATTTTGGAAGTGAGCATTTACCACTTGTGCACTATAATTAATATAATTACAGGTATTATAAATGTGTTGGTGAAATATTAATTAGAAATCGTAATGCAACCTAGTGTTTAAAAAAGCAAAAACCTATTCCTGGAATAAACAGTTAAATTTTGTATCTAAATAGCTAAATCCCAATATCGGTTGATCAACCACAAGGGTAAGAAACACATATCAGGAAGTTAGTGCATATGACATTTACGCCTAGTTCTTCAACATATTGACAAACTCGATTATTTACCTATTCAGGAATATTTTTGTAATTTTCCTTAATTCAAATGACCACTTAAGCCTAGTTATCATATAATTTCCGAATAACAATCGTAGCTAAATCAACATCTACTAGTCGCCTACAATGTATTTAGAGCAAAGCAAACCAAACCAAAAGGGTTTACTTATGTGCATAGTTAGCTCAGGGAGACACATCTGACTGTATATATCTGTAGATGGTACTAGATATCTGTAGCTGGTGGTGGATTGGGGTAATTTAGTAACAAGCCCTTAGGACATTCAATGACTCTTGTTAGTCTATCAGAAACTATATGGATACGCGCTAACAATAGATAACATAACTGACTGTCTAGGCGTAGTATAGGTGATAGTAATAGGCAGGTTGGTGCATGTGTATTGATTGAGATTTCAAACGACACAAAAGCCTTGGACTGATTGGGTAATTAATTTATAGTAACTTATGTATATTTGCTAATAACTGTATTGTTGGTTGATGTTTAATTATTTGAAAATTAAAACCACCGATCCAGCTTTTTTAATTCTTTTTATTCTGGTTTTCGGTAAACTCGGTTCAGTATTTTTGTAACGTAGTAAAAATTATGCACCTTCCTGCTGATTCTAAAGAAACATTTCGACTAATCCAAAACTAACTAGTGGGGTGTATGGCATAGCGCGTTAAGGCAAATTGCTGGAACTTCCCGTACCGTGATGAAATGTTCGAGGAATACTGAATGTTTTCAAATAGATGATTATTAATATTGTAGCATTGTCTTATATTTATAAGAATTATATAAACCTAATTGCAAAGTTGAAATTATTTGTTTAAAGTATATTAGAACTATAGTCAGAATTAAAAATAAAATCT